GCTGGAATTTCAGTCCTATAGCTCATTACTAAAAGCTAAACAAAACAACTATACGCAAAGTCATCAAGTATTCAAGCCTTATTAAAAACCAAGTTTGAATCTCAGTATACAATCAGTGATTGTGTAAGAGCTGACTCACTCCCACTTTCCATTTGTAGCCCAAAAAATACAGGGAATAATTTACAACTTACTCAGTTTTGTGTTGATTTCTAATGACCAAATACAAAATCAAAAGGCTTGGTAGAAAAGATGGGGGGTAGATTGTGCCCAACAGAATAAATAAAATATTCAGTAATTTATCTGGCACCAGGAATAACTGGTCTGATGAACTAAAATAATCACATTGGCGTGCTTTTTCTGAGCTTATACTTCTCCTGAGTTTGTGTCATTGTCAAGTTTCGCTTGGTTATTCCTGAATGACCAAGCATTATTTCTGCCTACCTAGTTTTGAATGGCAAAAATGTCACATTCATAACATGAAATAGAGAAACATGAAGAGTGCAAAATAATAATTGATTAGATCATATGAGAAAAAATGCAAAAGAAAAGAAAGAAAAAGAAAAAAGAGAGGGAAATGAAAGAAATGTAATTGTCCAGAGTGGAAAATAAGTACAGTTGTATTTATTTGCAGATGGCATGATGCATTATGTAGAAAATCTCGAGGAACACACACACACACACACACACACACTTAAAAACTAACAAAAGAGTTTAGGGATATGTGGGATACTAGACCAATATTAAAATCTATTGTATTTTTGATTACTAGTAATTCAAAATCTAATATGAAATTGACATTTATTTATAATAGAATAAAAAGAATACTTTTTACAAATACTTAGTAATAATTTTAAGAAAATCAGTAAAAGACTTCTGAGCTAGAAATTATAAAATATTGCTGTTAGAATTTAAAGACTACCTAAATAAATAAGAGATTTTATCTTGTTAAGATGGCAGTACTCCTCAAATTATTCTTTAAATTCCACATAATGCCTATCAAAATCCCAGCAAGTCTTTCATGAAAATTAACAAGATACCCAAAAAATTTCACACAAAATTCAGTAGACCTAGGACAGTGTTTCTGAGTTGTGGCACCACTGGCATAGTGGCCCAAGATAATTCTTTGTCATGGAGTCCGCCCTGTGCGTTTGGCTTCTACCCACTAGATGGCAGCAGAAATTGCTAAATCTTCCCTGGAGAGAAGTGGTTAAAATGGTCACCATAGAGAACTGACTTAGAATAGAATTGTTTCGAAATAAAATTAAGAGGTTTTTTTTTATTCAAGTAATTTAGAAAAATAAAACAAATGTGGAGGATCACCCTGCCCAATTTCAAAATTTTCTATGATGGCAGAGTAATCAAAAGGTTAGAGTATCAGTGAAAAAATAAACGTAAAAATTCATGTAACAGATCGATAATCCAGAAACATATCCTTACATTTAGAGCAATTTGACTTTTGACAAAGGTGTCAATATAATTCAGTGGATGAATGTTGAACTGAATAGTTTTCATGGTTTAACAACTCTAATATAGTTACTAAAAATCTTTGAATTGTATATTTACAATGGATAGGTTTTGTATGTAATTTATACCTCAAGAAATATGTTTGTGTTTTTAAGGCAGAAATGAAGATTTAGCAGATGGAAATTGGTTGTTTCAGTATTGGAAGCAAAGTTAAGAAATTATTGTTTGGCTAGCAAAGGAGAATGGCAGAAAGTCAAGCAGAGAAATTCTGAAATGTCCTGAATTTCCCAATATATTCATTCCATAGCTCAAGATCACAGTCATGCAGTTAATTCCATGAGAAACAATTTTAACATTCATACTAGGTACAAGGCCTCCATCAAGTCTCTACAGGTCTTCCCACACCCTTATCTAGCCAACACACACACACACACACATACGTGCAAACACAGAAGCACACACGTATTCATACATGCTCATCCCTCACCTCGGTCTAGCATTACATTTATCACCTCTCAACAAAACAACAAAATCAAATATAATCAGAGATTTGCGCTCTTTGACAAGCATACTGAAGAAATGCCTTACAAGTGCGGGATACCAGAGAACAGGAGCCTACATGTATAAAGAATCTTCTGTCCAAATTTTTCAACAGCCTTTTTTAGAATAATAATAATGGAAATTCTCCTTGCCATTTGTACATTGAATTATTCCTGTGACCCTTGAAATGAATGACAGAGAAGGGGTACTTGAGGGGTCACAGGAACCTTTTAATGAGGAAGAAAGTGCAGGGACCAAGAAGGAAAGGAAACTTGGTTTCTGTGTTTTCCCCAGAATCTCAAGTGTAGGGGCTTCTCACAGGTCTTACCTGCAGCGTGTCTATTGATGACCCCCATATCTGATGCTGGAGATCCAAGATGAGCTCTCCCATGTACTGTCTCTGCTGGGCCACCTGATCTTTAGCCACTGCCAAGTTATCCAGCACATTCACTTCATCATCCTCCAGCTTTTGCAGCTCCCTCTGCTGCTCCCGGTCCAAGATGCCTCTCATTTCATCAAACCCTTCCAGAATCTTCTGTCTCTCAGTCTGCATATGATTCTTGGGGGATAAGAAGAGAAAGGGGCAGTCAGACTGTCTAGCTGAGGGACTACTTTTCATGGGCCTGGGTACCAGCGCAGTTCTCAGAAGGACGGTTTTTCCTACTATTTTCCCTTCAGCTCCTCCCAAAGCAATTCATGCAAATATACTTCATCAAGGTCAACCAGGAGACACAATGTGATACCTGGATGAAGTCTGAATTGCAGACACTTGTCCTGGATAGACTTGCCACACTGTGTAAGAAACTTTTCTATCCATAACTCTTAACAGAGAATCCTGGGTTGTCCTCAATGTGTTTTCTGAAAGTATCAGAGCCTCAAACTTAATGACAGAAATGGGACATGGGAATCATGAGTCACTTTTACATTGCTTCCCTCTATGCCTTTGTCTTCAAATAGCTGATCTCACTTGGGATAGGTCTACTCTCCAGCTCCCAACCCTCAACAAGAAAGGGATGGAATGAGGACTAATCAAATGTCCTCTGGACTCATGAATTCTGAGGTGACAAAGAGGAAGGAGCCTTTTTGTGATTGGACCAAGGTGCTGCCCAGTTTCCCGTCTCAGAACTCCCTCAGGAACAATCTCTTCCTGCCTTCCAGGTAGCTCTCTCGTCACTGATGTCAGCTTCTAACTTCTCAGCTTCCTGCTCCTCCTCTGTCAGCCTCTTCAGAGCTTCCTGTAGCTTCTCCTGTGAGAAAGAAACCACCAAAGTCAAACTCTGAGCTTTCTCAGACCTGGATAGGGGGAAAATGGGGAAGAAATCAGGCTCGTCTCAGAAGAGACTAGATACTGGCAACTAGAACTGAGAATGTATTGGGTTGTCAGAGAAGTCATGATGTATTTTGTCTGTTTTTCAAAGGTCATTTATTTATATAAAGAACAAAGATCAATCAATGATATATTGCCCGTTTTGTTCAATAACCTTTTGCCATCTTTCAGTGAGCTTCATAATTCCTCGTTCATAGAAGGACCTGTCTTTATTTGTGAAAAACTGAACAAGGTGCTGATTTACAACCTCATCTGAATTAAACGTTATACCACGCAAGGAGTTTTGAAGAGAGCGAAACAAGTGGAAGTCTGACGGCACAAGGTCAGGTGAGTATGGTGGGTGTGGCAACACATCCCATCCAAGCTCCATTAATTTTTGATGGGGAATGAAACTTGTGTGGGGTCTCACTTTGTCACAATGGGACACTACTTCTTTACAATTAACAAGCTCTGGACATTTCTGGATGATGGATTTGTTCAAACTGTCCAATTGCTGACAGTACACATTCGAATTGATTGTTTGGTTCCTTGGTAGAAGCTCAAAAACACGACACCTTTAAAATCCCGCCACACTGAGAGCATAACCTTCCTCTGATGAATGTCTGCTTTCGATGTCATTTAAAGTGAATCATCACGTTGGGACTAAGACCGTTTGCGCACCACATTGTTGTAAACAATCCACTTCTCATCACCAGTTATCAGTCGCTTCAAAAAAGGATTGTTTTCCTCACATTTAATGAGCATATTGCAGATGTTTATACATGCCATCAAGTAAACTTCTTTGAGTTCATGTGGAACCAAATATCGAACTTGCTTATGTATTCCAGCTTCTTCAGGTGGTCATGAACGCTTGAATGATGGATTGTCAATGTTTCTGCAATCTCTCGTGTCGTGTAATGTGGATATGACTCTATCAATGCTTTTATTTTGTCGTCATCAACCTCGGTGGGCCTCCCTGACCGAGGACCGTCGTTGAGATCAAAATCACCAGCACGGAATTTCATGAACCATCGTTGGCACTGTCGTTCTTGTAGAGCAATGTCACTGTAAACTTTTTGCAAATTTTCACAAGCTTGACACACCTTCTTTTCATTATGGAAGTAAAACAGTAAAATATGGCGAAAATGCACAGTTTGGTCTTCCATCTTCAACTTGTTGTAAATCTCCAAAACTCAACCAAATTGCTAAATTTTTTTTTAGAATGAGGCTAGAACCGTCAGCTGTCGAATGACATAGCCATAACATGGGAATGACTCTAGTACTTCCAAACAGACTAGTGCCATTTGTTGCAAACATGTGTCATGGCTTTTCCAACAACCCAATAGATAAATATCTTTATCCCTCGGTGATGGAAGTTTCCATGCCTTTATCGAGAGTAGCCTGCACTTCTCTTTTCCTAGAGGAAGAGCTGGTCCTGCAGCACGAAAAGCCCTTTCCTGTCACGGATACTTTCCCCAAATCAAACCAACCGTGGTCTGCAATCGGAACTCATCTTGGGAAGAAACTCACATTCACACAACTTCTGTTTGCTAAAATTTTGCAGTCTATGCTTATTCTTGAAGAAAATGAAAGAATGTACAGAAATGCCCCTCAGGCCTCAGAAGCTGAGCCAAGGGTATGAAAAGGAAAAGCAGAGCTCAGTTCTGTGATGACAAGGTGAATAAACACAATTTAAAAAGTAAAGGTTTCACTTCAGTTACCATTCTGCCCAATGCTTCTCCACTCTGGGGCCTACCTGACATTCCTGGGCCACTTGTTCAATGGGGAACATTTGGTGACCATGATGCTCCACAGACAGCACACAAAGCTTGCAAATGGCCTTCCCATCCTCCTTACAGAAGATAAGGCGGTTTTCCCCGTGCTGCTCACAGAGATCTGCCCCCTGCCACTGTTGTGACGTCGTCTTGACCTCCATGAGTTTCTTCACTATGTTGGCCAGCTGCAGATTAGGACACAGGTTCCAAGGCTGGTATCTGCTCTGGCACACAGGACAGTGGCATTCCCCTCCTGGGGCGCTCACGGACTCATTGTTTGCAGTGATGCAAGCTTGGCAGAAGCTGTGGCCACAGTCCAGGCTCAGGGGTTCTGTCAGGAGCTGCAGGCACATGGGGCAGGTCAGCTCCTCCGCTATGTTCAATTGTGCTGGAAAATCCATGGCCTTGCTCCGCTGAGGCTCCTCTTGCTCACAAACTCCTGCAGGCCTGGGGATGATGAAGGGGGCGGGATAAGAAAGGCAGGAACAGAAAGGATGCTGATTGTGCAGAGAATCAGAACTGCACAGAACATCAATGTTCCACAAAGGAAGGAAAAGAGAGAAGAAGCGTAGATCATGACAGAGTGAAAAGGGCTCTTTGGAATAATTTCAAACATTTTACTCTTAATTTGTCACATAATAAATTTCACCCTGTCAGGGCAATGATTTCAATTTTTCTTCTTCTCCTGGAGAGAAAGACAAATTGAGATCCTTCCTACCAGGAGCTTTGTGAAACCCATCATTAGCCCTGCCTTTTCCTCCCCACCCGAAACATATCCTCCAGATTAAATGTGCTAACCCCTCTGTGGCCCCCAGACTTTTGCACTTGCTGTTCTCTCTGCAGAGAATAATCCTACCCCTGCCATTTGCATGACTTAACTTTATTTTAACCGTTTCATTGAGTTGTATTTACATCCCATGTATTTGTTTTAGGAGTACAGTAATTTCTAATAAATTTATAGAATGGTATAACTAACACCAAAATGCAATTTTAGAACATCTTTATTTCTTGAAAACAAACCTAATGCCATTACTAGTCACCCCCTTCTGACGCTGAGCCTCATGCTACCATTAATCTCCCTTGTGTTTTTAGTGATTTGGTTTTTCTTATGAATTCATAAAAATGAAATCACAACACATGGTCTTTTGAGTCTGAATTCTTTCACTTCACTCTCATTGAGGTTCATCTCTCCTGCCTTTCTTTCCCGTGCAAAGAATACATTGTTGTTATTAAAAGCGCAAAACCCACTGCTGCCTCAGAGAATCTGCACATGTGTCTGTCTCTGCATGGACCGATCTTCTCCCTGATGTCAGCATGACTCACTCTTACATTTTACTCAGTCTCCCCTTGACACATCTTCTTATCAGAAGGACTTGCTCTTATTTATCTGTAGCAAACCTGCCAATACTATCACTTGCTATACAGTTGCTATTTTTTTCTTACTTTTACTACATACTATATAACATCTTTCTTTAACTGTCTACCTCTTCTTTCTAAAAAGTGATGCATGCATAGATCAGTTGTGTTTTGTTCACTGATGTATCGTCAGTGCCTAGAACAGTGCATCACACACAGGGACACAACAGTTGATGAATATATAAAACTAGAACCTTGTCCTCTCTCCATAGGTGATTGCTTTTCTTATCAGTTTTTCATCTTTTTTTCCCATCAATTCACAGTTTTCCATGACTCCGGGTGTGAACATATAATACAATATATAGATGATATATTACAGAAATGTACACTTGAAACCTATATAACTTTTACTAATTAATGCTACCCCAATAAAAAATATATATAATCAGTTGTCCAATAGCTGAGATGTGTTTACCTCCAAACATACCTGTCCCACTCAGAGTCTTCCCATGACCTCTAACTCACTCCCCAGAGACACCTACAGAAACAGCAAGAACCACAATTAGAAAACTGTTTTATCACTAACAATTTTATAACCAGTTATAATTTAGAGATCACCTTGACCTATTTATTTTTCATATTAACATTTTTTGACAAGTAAGAGTACTCCCTTCATCAGGTGTGTCAAGAGAATAAATGACTTATAGACATCATTCTTGTATCATAGGTAGAATTGAGGTGAACGTGTCATATGCAGGAACCCTATTGAGAGTTCTTTCCACTACTGTACCGATTTAAGCAATGGCAATCAGAGGTAGAAGGTGCCACAACTAAATTGATACCCAACGCTATGGGGATGTAGAAATGGAGAGATCAAGGCCAGTTGGGAGGTTCTGGGGAGTCTTGTGTTTATAGATTTTGAGCCTTTCTCTTGGCCTGGACATAAGGCAACATGTCGACAGGCACCTAAATGTTTCTGTTTTTAGGGAGGAAGAGAGGAGTTAATATACTTAGGATTACACACATGACACAGACCTGAGGAACACAAATTCTAGGGAGGTATCTGTCATTCATGGGAGAGAAGTTTCAAAATACATTGGAGAGAGTAAGTCTGTCCCGTTTCATATAATTTGAGCGCTATTAGGTGATGAATTGTGTCCCCTGAAAACATGTTGAGTCATTTCCCCAGGATGTGTGAAGGTAACTTTATTTGAAAATAGGGTCTTTACAGATGAGCACATTAAAATGAAGTCATTAGTGTGGGCCATATTCCAGCATATTTCTGTCTTATGAAAAGGGGAAATTTGTAAACAGATAGACATGAACACATGGAGAATGCCATATGAAGACACAGCAGAGATCACGGCCATGCAACTATACAATAAGTAACTCCATTGATTGCCAGCCAACCATCAGAACCCAGCAGAGAGGCAAGGAACAAATCCTTCCCTCACGGTCCTGAGAGGAGCCAACCCTGCCAACACAACTGATGTCATATTTCTGGCCTCCAGAGCTGTGCAAATAAAATATTCAGTTAAGCCACCTAGTTTTCCAAGGCAGCCCCAGAAATCTACACAAGTGCTTATTTTTGCTGTAGCCATTCATTCTATCATTGAAGAAGCATTACACAATTGAGACCCTCCCCACTTAAGACAGACGGACAGACAGACAGACAGAAACACTCTGTATGCTCCCTTTTGGAGATGGTACAATGTAGGAGTTTTTACAGAGGAATGTAAGGGCCAAAATACTCCTTAGTTTCCTAATCTCACTATAGCCTAGTTGTCCGCATAGAAGCTCTCTTTATCTGTACAGTCAGACAGGAAAAATGAAAATGTCTCCCAATGGGGGGAAAGTTCTATGAGGGTTTCACCCACCATCCTTGAAACTTCCCTTTTTCCCTGGGTCAGAAACTGCCAATAGGATGGTGAACCTGTTCTTGGTATCCAGGCATCTGAGGTTCTCAGAAACATTGCGACCCCTCCCCATTCCTCCATATTCAGAGCTCCCTCTTTTACCACCTCTGAGAGTCCAGGGTTTAGTTGCCCCTCATTAATGAACCACCCCCAAGAGCTCCCGCTCTCAAATCAATTTGTTTCACAGAAGTCATTTTGTAACAGAGGCAGTCTTCATGAAGCTACCCCTAGTCTCAGCCCTTTCTCTCAGTCAGTTCATCAGAAAATCTTGTGGCACTCTCTTCAACTTAGGTCCTATACAACTCAGTCTTTTACTTGGATCCAGGAATAGTTTTCCCACTAATCCTCTTGAAACTGTTAGTGGTCTCATATAGGTTGCTGTCATTTCTCACACCATTGAGAGTGATTTTTTAAAGTAGACATCAAACATGTTACTCCTCTCTTCAAATGCATGTTATCAGTGAGTTATCTTTACCATGGTCTAGTTAAGTCCACATTACACATCCCCGACTGCCCCAGCCTCTGGGCCCACCTTCACCCCAACCCACACTGGTCAGCTTTATGTTCCTTAATCGCTCAGGACAAAAATCCATCATTTCATTGAAGAATCTGTTCAAATCACCTTTCTACGCTGACATGTAAACTGAAATGTATTGAAAGCTGCAAAGCCCTTTACCAGGGAACCATAGATATCTTGCTCTATTATTGTCCTATTGGTTTATTATTGTTGTTGCTTCTTTGTTTTACCTTTCTACCCTAATAATCTTCATCTTGTTTCATACTATCTTACTCTTCTACTATTTGTTTACTTTCTTTCCCATGATGCGGAATATAATGTTTTGTAGGTACTTAATATTTATCATGTGTTCAATAGATGTCAATACAGTTTTTACTACAGCTGCATGCTTTTCTTCTTATGAATTTAATAAAAAGCATTCAAAAAATTTTTAAAATCCATCTTCTCTGGTTTTCTGGGCCCTGTATTAGCTCCTGAGTAGACAGTGAATATACACCAGATATGAACCTTGTCCAGGTATATGGCAGAGACTCATGATCCCTGAAAAGGGGGAGAAAAGGGAAGTTTACATCAAAATACATGTAACAGAGATCAAGGTACCCAGTGCTCAAAGGGGAGCTTAAGATGGAGTTCATTCTGAGACATTACCAACTCCTTTCCTTAGCTCTGTGCACAGGAAACGTGAGGAAGGGGTTGTGTAATAAACAATGGGAAGGTCTGTCTAACAGTAAAAAACAAGTTCTAAAGCAGGAGAGGACACCAGAGGGTCATGGGGTGACCTGACGTAAGAGTAAGCTGCGGCAGGCAGAGAAGAACAAACTCCCTGTGCCTGGACCTCCAGAAGGACAAATGATCACGGGGAGCTACACCCATGGGCAACAACTTGATCATCCAGCCTCTCCCTTCAGGCCGGCTAAAGGGCTGGTCATTTATCAGGAAGGTGGTTCCAGCTTTCTGGGAGATACCAGGACAGGAATAACAGGGTCAGCTTCAAGAGGATCTGACCCCTTGCGGAGCCCCTAACATCCCACCCCTCCCTCATGTGCCCGGGTAAGGGCTCTCATCTCTGCTTTCCTCAGCAGGACCTTGGCTTTATGAAGCGGGAAACAGAGCTCCATCTCACAGGCTTCACTGGAGAAGAGGAGGAAGGGATTTTCTGCCTGTGAAAAAAAGAGTGCTGTGGCTCAGATGGCAACTCGGAAAGTCAAAACTACAGAAAACAAAGATGAGGGTTACGCAGCCTGAAGAAATAATGGTCCCTCCCAGAAACAAACAAGACTCTGCTTTTTGAAACGTCCTTTCTTTAAAAGTCACTCTTCCTGCAGACTCAATGCTCCCCTCTTCTGCACTTTACCACAGACACCCACAAGCAGAGCAGCTTCAGAACCACAATGTAACTCACCCAAACACATTCAATCTGTTACCCAAAGCCTCCTGCCCTTTGGCATCAGAAGTTGCCCCACACACCTTCTGGAAAAGTGCAGGAGTCTTCACTCAGTGGAGAGATCAGGTGGAGGTCAGGTGGAGACTCACTCACCAAGCCAGGGACTAGCGCTCTGCAGAGGAGTGGCCCCACGGGAGGGGAATGAGAAACGAAAGTCAAATTCTAGGAGTGGAAATGAAACTAAAAAAGCAGAGCAGAAATACAAACAACAACAATGAGTCACTGCAGGACACTGGGGGAGGGTAATACTTCAGTATGTTCTAGGGCCTGCACCAAAGAGGTACTTAATCGATTTTTTCTTTTCCCATCTCAATTTCCTCCAGTAAGACTATCTGAATGACACCCATGTGAATTCCAATGACACATTCCACAGCTTGCCTGAATACTCAGGATTTTAATTCAATCCTATAATTACTACTTTGGCTTATTTTACATTAAGGCCCTAAACAAGTTACTAGGGATAAAATAAGTATCCAAAAAATCTGGGTACCTGCCGTTTGTAAAGCAGACTGTGATGGGGAAGATAATCAGTGATAAAGGCCAGTGAATTTGAGCTGGTACTGTGAGTGTTAGCAGTTGTCCTTGCTAATGGTGACAATAAAAAAAGGGGGGGGGGCTTTCAGTGTGAGCCTATTGACAAAATTTTTCCACATCATTGGTCTTAGAGTTCCAGTAGGTTAGTTACCAGTTTCTGTTCCTCATCTAGGCAGGCCAGAAGGGGAAGTCTTCGAGAGATCATGGTGGTACAACTGTTTCAGTGCCATGTTATTAGCAACTGAGAGCAGGAGGAGCATGGAGGTGAACCGATGGTGGTGTCAAGTGTAGTTTCTCTGGGTAACTCTCCACCTCCATAATTGTTCACTTTTCCTCACTTCCTTTGGGAAATGTTTAGTCTTATTTACACCGTTGTGGTGAAAAGGGGGCCACCTGTTAAGCCTGACAAGCTCAGGAGACTGAATACCAACCACATAAGATGGTTTGAACATGAAAAAATTCCTAACTAAAAGCAAGGGGGGCACAACCCACCACACCAGAGCAAGAATCTACAAAATTCCTCATTGTTATCTTGTTCCCAAATGCTATCTCTATGTGCTGCAAAATGCTATTAACTATCCTGTACCCATCAATGTAAAAGAAGTATGTGTCTCTCCATTTTGCTTTTTATCCAATCCCAGAGATTTCCCTGCTTTGCTTTCTCCCACTTCCTTAATGTACAACCAATGGATTTCATGTAAACCTCCTCCTTTGATTCTAAAATGTAAAATAAGTTACAAAATGGTCATTTTCCAGAGCATTTACTCAATCTGTTGAGACTTTGCTTCCCGGCAATGGTCGTCAGTTTGGCTTGAATAAACTCTACAAGCTTTCTCTTAGGCTGGATGTTTTTCAGTTGATGCCATCAATCAAAAGCAGAACTGAAACACTTTCTATTTTTATAAATACTCTCCTGTCTTGTTCTCTGTCTTGTTCTTCTTTTGACTACATGGTTTAGATGTTGCAGCTACAAGGTTGTTCAAGGTCCCGAACAAGTGTCCCTGACTCACAAGACCACAGAGCTCAGCGATCTTTACACATTAACTGATATGAGATATGTAGGGCGACTGAGAAGTCAATGTTTCTTTAATTAAAGCACCAATATTTTGGTACTGTTTGTAACCCACAGAACACTAAGCTAATCTTGGCTTAAACTGTTTTTAATTCACTTATATCTATGAGGCAGGGCGAAAATTATATAGGTATAATTGCTGAGACATATTAGGTTTAAGTTTTTTGGGTATGAATGTAGTTCTAACAATGAATAAATTCTTGATCTTCTTTAAGTGCAACGATAATTATACAAATTTTGTACAAATTGCATCCTGAGAACTGGCATTTTTCCTTTAGCATCTTAATTATTAAATAGCACTATCAATGAGTATCCTTCTCCATCCAGCTCTGCCTCCAGTAAGTTTTATGAAGGCAGAAGGGGACCCTTTCTCTGTTGTTCCTTATTGTCTCAGATCTACTACAAAGTGTTGTGTGTAGGGAGTGATATTTAAATAGAAAGCCATGCAGTTATATAGCTATAGATATAATGTTCATTACATTGAACATACTGATGATAATCATGACTCTGTTCTGTAGACGGTGTTACAGTCAACATGATTGCTGTGGTCATAATAAAATTCTGGTATTATTAGCATTTATATAAACTCCTTTGACAAATTTTAACCAGACATTTTTCATATATTCTGTTTTGTTCCTAAGATTTACTCAGATGCTTATCTCAACGCCTGTTGCTTACCTAAACCAACATATTATAATCGCATTACTTCTTGTGCCAAGTTTTTTTCCAGACCAGAAACAGTTAAAAATCATGGGCCCAAAGTGGGAGATCTTTCATTAGATTCTTCTCCAATAGTAGATGTAGGGACTAAAGGGAACACAGCCCTAAAGAGAATGTATATTCCCTGGGCCTTGTGAACATAATATGCAGGAATGTGGACCTTAGCAATGTAGTTGGCTCTGGAGATGGACTTTGGGTGATGAGAGGAATATGGTTCATTTGGGCTTCCTGTTGCCCACACTTTCTTGTATTCTGACATGCTCTGATTTCCTCACTGGTTTCTCTCCACCTTAAATCTAATATCTCAGAGGAGGTTCCCACTCCCCCTGTCCCTCAACCCCCTCTTTCATTTTCCACTTACATTTTCCAAATGAATTTTTTCCACAGGATAATGAAATAGCTCTTTTTTATTCAAATTCTCTAAAATTTATACTCCAGTGCTGTTTCTAAAATGTATGTCACTGTTTATATAATGGTTTTATTATTTCATCTTTCTTTTAAAGATTTTTTCATTTTTTTAGAGTTCTTCAGTAGACACCAGAGTCTTGAGTTGCCCAGTTAGGAGCCTCTGACCTACTATTCTGATGAAGTTTCTTCTCAGTATTCATGGCCAACATCTGGCTTCTAAATGAAAAGCTTTTGTTCATTAAATCACTTGTGATAGGGTTAGACTTCATTGTTACCCATAACCACATGACCTCATTAAGAATCAATCTTGGCATCCAAATGTGCATTTCTAATGAAATTTACAATCCACCTTTCAGCTTCTTCCAGAGCCATGTCAGTTTATCTGAACATGCATTAAGCTCAATGGTGGATGCGACAAAAAGTCTCAAATGTGAAGAGATGGGCATTTTCAATGAAATCCTCAAGACGAGCCACCAAGAACAAGTCATTCACAAGCCCAGGTTCACATTCCCTCAGCTTTTTATGAGTCACATTAAAGTCAGTTTACATATAAGCATTCAGCAAACTCTGTAATTGGGTCTTTATGTGTAAGACTCCTGTTGAATAACTTTGACCAGGTCTTTTAGCACCTCTGGCATTTCCAAACATCTTTGTTCATCATGACTGTAGTCAAATATTGAAGAATATGTGGACACATCATCTGAATTGCATTAGGATACTGTGGGTGGTAAAGAAGAGATCGATAATGTTATCAAGCCCTTTGGGGTCACTGAAGAAAACAAACAGAGACCAGTGAATGAGGCATGTTCACTGCTGAAACTGTAGCACTCACAGACTTATTATTTATGGTCTCTTCTAACCGTGTAAGGTCTTCCATGGCTGCATCCCAATTCTGCATTAACATTTCAGAGGCTAGTTTTCCCCAGAGTGAACTCAAAGCACTTCTATCCATTGCTGGAACCAACACTCGAAAGAAGTAAAGACTTTCTGCTGCTCCAGAGTAATCCCCACACTCATATTGGAATGCTGCATATCTGTAGAGTGTCTCTAGATATTCTTGCCTAAAATCATGCTTGTCTGCTAGGTAGTCAAATAGCATCCAACCATCCCTGGTTGACTACATTTGCCTTGTGGTTTCCAGGTCTTCGAATATCTTCACAATTGGTTCTGTTTCTTCCTGAAGCTGTTTCAGTTGTGCAACAACTGGTGCTCTAATTTCTCTCAAAGAATAAAGGTTTATGTATACATCCATAGCAAAGTCTACCATACTGATATCACTAAGAAGACTCAATTTCCCTTGTAATAATTCTTTCTCATTATATATCTCCTTCATGGAGAGAAGGAACACAAGCAGTGGGAAGAGTAAATGCTGACCCCCAAAATATGTGATGGGAGTAGTCACCTCGTACTCTGCCACCTTGCAAGGAAAAGACCCATGGAAATTTTTTACAATCTCTTCTCAAACAAGCTCAAAAATATCATGTCCTCATTGTATCCACTATTTTCAAATTTTGGATTGGTCCAAGGCTTTACAGCCGAAAGCTGCCCTACCTCAACCTCAGAAATGCATAATGTATACTGTGGTTTGAGTTTTGGAAGAAAGGGATTTGTTGGGGGCTAAAGAGAGGGATCCTGATAAAGAGCCAGTTTTTACATGTCTTGTTGTCAAAAGGATCTCTTTCTTCACATTCCAAAAGCACTGCACCTCATACAAACATCTCACACAGAGTCTGGAGGGAACCCATTAGTTCCCTGGGGCCCAGGGTGTGGGTTCAGATCACAGATTCAAAGGGAGGCAAGAGTAAAAGGATGAATATGGGATTTGTGGGAGGCACAAGTCCTAGCCCACCTCTGTGCACTCCACATAAACACACTCACAAACACTGAACCCTCCCCTCCCCTCCAATTGTCAACAAGGTTTATGAGTAAAAAATGGATTACACCGAGTCACTCTACTGTATATCTCTGCATTAACCACCATACTCCAAATCATCCTCTTCTCCTTTCTCAATGGTGAGAATGAAGAATGTTGAAAAACATCTGATTGTTTGTTATGACATAAAATATATTGACCCTAAAAACCAGTAAATCTACATATAGTATTTACTCAAGAACAATGATCTGTCTGTATTTCTAGAGGACTGGACATGGGATCCCCCCAGCCCTGCATGAACAGTCACTTCAGAAGCAACTCTCCCCCCTCGCACTGGGGGAGAAGAAGCTGGTCCTCATGCCTGAGGCTGCCACAGTCAGTCAGCCCACTGGGAAGAGTGAGGTAAACACTCACTGCTTGTGAGAGTTTATGTGTATGTGTTAAAAGCAGAGCCGGAGTAGTCTTGACAGTGGCTATCAGGGAGTTTAAAAAGGTCTATTCAGGTCTTTTTTTGCTTGTAACTGCGTGCTTCATCTTGAAGTGGAGGATGGGCATTCTTCCATGAATGTCCCTTGAGAGTCATTTGTCAATAACAACAGTGCAGATTATTCCTAGTGAGTCAGAGCCCCGGTCATTGTAGCAATGGGCTAACAGGAAGGCAGAGGTCAAACGGAAAATTTAGAAGATGAATTTCCCCCACTTTCCTTGGATGGGTGCTAAGATATAAATGTATGCGTGCACACAAAGAGACACTGTAAATATCCACCTTGGCATCCCTTGTCTTACCAAAGTTCATCCAAAGATGAGGAAACTGGGAATTCTGGAAGACAAGCAGGGATGAGAGTAGATAATACTTGACCAAAGTGCACACTTTTATTTTTTCCTAACTCTGAACCTGATTGGAGAAGTTAGGAATAAAAATGCAAAAAGACATGGGGAGCCCACCAAGCCCTGAATGAACATCCATTGTAGAAATCATGCCCCTCTTATCTCAATGGAGAATAGGCTTTTCTCTGTTCCTGAG